AGGGCCTAGCGGAGGGGGAGGGGCAGTTAGTGTTTAATGGGAACAGTTTCAGCTTTAAAGGTGAAAAGTCCTGGAGACAGATGGTGGGGATGGCTGCACGGCAATGTGAATGTACTCAATGCCACTGAACGGTACACTTAAAATGGCTAAAATGGTCAATTTTAGGTTATGTGTACCTTACCACAATAAAAAAAATTAGAAAAAACAACAGCCTTTCCATATGACCCAGCAATTCCACTCTTAGGCATCTACCCAATAGCAGTTAGAAAAATCACTCTTTTATAATCATCATAGTATTAATTGACCCAGGCAGTAATCAAAAGTAAATGTTAAAATTATTGGGTGGAATTTTGTTGGAGAGCAGGATATTTACATAATCTCAAAGTATCTTCCTACAAAGAAATATGAATTACAAGGAGAAAAATATCTTACTCAAGAAACCTGATGAATGTCGCCTTGAGACAGGCCAGCAAGCCAGGACAAGGGAATAGGGAAATTGAGGGAGCTGAACAAACGGGCAGAGCAATTTTCAGCAGATACGGAAGGTCATCTCTGAAGAGATAACATCTGGACCTCAGCTGTATTTCAGCTCCAGACCCAGGAAAGCAGCAAAACCAGGTGGGCAACACCAGGACCAGCTGCAATGACTAACGACCCGACTCCCTGGCCCCCCCACCCGACCCTGACACTGACCAATCAGTGGACACCACAACCCTGAAGGAGCGCACCTCGAAAACTGATGACTATTCTGCTGAAACCCTCCCCGGAGGCCTCCCCTAAGATTACCATCTGCAAGAGAAAGGTAAAAGTCTCAAGACCAAGGACCCAGCGCACGCTCTCCCTCTGGGGACAGCTCTTCCCAGGCTAACCCCTGAACCTGTTCCCCAGGCCCCCTTTTCTCTGACTTCCCAGAGCACTAGGGCAGCCTGCCCTGGGCTCTCCTGTTGTTTCTTCTGTGCTAAGCCCTTTCTTGTTTCACTGTCCCCAGCTTTAATAAACATTCCGTCATAGTCACCGGGACTCATGTTGTGAAATTTTTCCTGCATGAAGTCAAGAACCCACACACTCCCGGCCAGCCCTAGGCAGACCTGCCGAGGGCTAGGTCCCCTTTCCAGTAGCAGCCTTAACCAAGAGATCCAAGTAAACATCACCGGAAATGCAGCATACAAACATGGCTGGCATCCTGATATCACTCACTGAGGAGGACACATCACTTCTGTGCTACCCCTGCCAAAATATACAACCTGCATCAGATCATGAGGAGGCACCACACAAACCCACACTGAGGACAGCCCAGAATAATTGGCCTATACTCTGCAAAAGAGTCAAGGTCATGAAAGACAAAAAAGGCTAAGGCTGTCTTGGATGAAAAGAGACACAAGATGCATGAAATAAAATGCAATGAGTGGTTCCCAACTGGATACTGGAATGAAGGGGAAAGCTGCTGTAAAAGACAATATTGAGGAAATTTTCATCTGGGCTGTATATTAGATAATACTACTGTATCAATGCTACATTTCCTGAATTTGACTATCACCCTTTGCTATTTAACAGAAGATTTTTTTCATAGAAAATACATGGTGTTTTGAAGTAAAGGTGCATGATATCTCCAACTTATTCTAAATTTATTTAGAAAATTAAGAAAAAGAATGTGCATATTCTCTACAGAATATATAATATGCTTTTAGATTTTGTTCAGATAAATATAAAAGGTTAACCACAGGCAGATCTAGCTCAGGGTCAGCAAATTTTTTCTGCAAAGAGCCAAAGAGTAAATAATTTCAGCTTTGAGGGCCTGGCAGTGTCTGTTGAAACACTGCCCCCCATAGAAAAAGCTGCCAGAGACCAAATGTAAATGAAATGGGTGTGGCTCTGTGCTAATAAAACTTTATTTATAAAAACAGGTATAGAGCAGATGGTTTGCTAAAACCTGACCTAGATGAAAGGTAGATGGGACTTCATTGCAATAGTTTGGCAAGTTCTGTAGGCTGAAAGTATTTTCAAAATAAAAAGGTGAGTGAAGAAAATATGGATTTCCTAACTTTGTGATCAGAGTGTGGTCTCTAAATATCTCCCGTGAAAAGGAATCAGGGCTCCTTGGAGAATTGGCCAAATGCATAGCTGGGGCTGTGAAAGTATAGGACAAGACAAAGCATCTCGCTGTACCAGAAGTATGAGCTCTTAAGACCACGGGGGTCATGTCAATGGGACTGAGGAACCCACTCAAAGAGGTTCCACTGTCCACAAGCCAAGGGATGCCTGGGCCTATCGGAAGCTGGAAGAGGCAGGAAGAATCCTGCTTTAGAGCTCTCAGAGGGAGTATGGCCCTGCTGCTGCCTTGATCTCAAACTTCTGGCCTCAAGAATTGGAAGAATACATTTTATTGTTTTAAAGCTTTTTTTTTTTTTTAAATACATTTTTATTGATCTCAGAGAGGAAGGGAGAGGGAGACTGAAACATCAATGATGAGAGAGTCACTGATCAGCTGCCTCCTGTAGGCCCCCAACTGGGGATAGAGCCCACAACCTGGGCATGTGCTCTGACTGGGAATGAACCGTGACTCCTGGATCATAGGTTGACGCTCACCCACTGAGCCATGCCAGCTGGGCCTTTTCTGTTGTTTTAAGCCACTCAGTCTGTGGTACTTTGTTACAGCAACCCCAGGAAAAATATCTGACCATCACTCCCCAAAACTGTCAAGGTAATAAAAAACAGGGAAAGTCAGAGAAACTATCACAGCCAAAAGGAACTTAAGGAGATATGACGACTAAAGATTATGTGGGGTCCTGGATGGGGTACTGGGACTAAAAAAGGATATTAGGGGAAAACTGAGGAAATCAGAATATAAATTTTAGTTAGTAATGTATCAATATTGGTTCATTGGTTGTAAAAAAAAGTATCATATTAATGTAAGATGCTAATAGTAGGGGAAATTGGGTGTGGTTTTACAAGGCAACTCTCTGTACTAACCTCACAATTTTTCTGTAAATCTAAGACTATTCTAAAACACAAAGGTTTAAGTAAAAAAGAAAAGAAAAGTGTTACCTGGCTGGCGTGGCTCAGCGGTTGAGCATCAACCTAGGATCCAGGAGATCGGGGTTCTATTTCTGGTCAGGGCACATGCCTGGGTTGTGGGCTTCATCCCCAGCAGGGGGCGTGCAGGAGGCAGACAATCAATGACTCTCATCATTGATGTTTCTCTCTCTCTTCCAGCCTCTGAAATCAATAAAGATATATTTAATAAATAAATAAAAAGTGTTGAATGAATAGAATCTTGGCTCTGTGACCTCTCAGGTGTATCTTAGTCAAATTATTCGGTTTCTTTGTGCCTTATTTTTCTCATCTGTAAAATGGGAATGATAGGGCTTGTGCTACATGGGGCATCCCTGAGGATGGTGGGACACCACGATCTGGTGTACATAGAGCCATTATCTTCATCTTCATCAGAGGTGGGTGGGAGCTGCTGCTGGAATTTTGGGTGAATAGCAACACAGGGTGGGCTTAAATGTACCCCCCTTCAGGGAGAGAGGTTGGCCTCTACCTCCTAGTTAAAAGTGTGCACCTTCCCCGACAGCTCTAGGTCGCATGACTAGCACAAGTGGGTAAACAAGTAGAACTTTTTTCCTTCCTTCTCCATGTTTCTACCCAGCATGGGACAGGAGACCTGAGAAGGAACCACAGGGGATAAACAGGACACCCCTAAGAAATCACAGGTCTGCCCTAGCCAGTTTGACTCTGGTTAGAGCGCCGGCCTGCAGATTGAAGGGTCCCCGGAACGTATCCCCACACGCTGCAGGAGCAGCCAATCGATGTGTCTCTCACATCGATGATTCTCTCTTTCTCTCTCTCTCCCTTTCACTCTCTCTGAAAAGCAATGGAAAAAATATCCTCGGGTGAGGATTGAAAAAAAAAAGAAATCACAGGTGTCCAGAATGTCATTTCTTTAATGTCCAACTCACAAGGGGGCCCTGCAGGTAAGGGAATAAATACAGGTTTTAAGATGCAGTGCACCGAGCCCCCAGCCTGGGAAGGAGGGGGATGCCTGTGAGCCTCGTTTTCCCGTCTGCAAACCGTAATAGGACACACTTTGAGTCATGAGGCCCTTAGGGGTTCACCGTTTTCCAGGAGTCTCTTCCTCCACAGAAAAGGGAGGTCTCTGAGCTACCCAGACCTCAAACTGGGGGGTATTGTCTCCTGTCCACTAGGGGGCGCCAGAGTCCTGTCCCTGGGCCTGAAGGACCACTGCCCCATCCCTGGGGGTATCATCCCCAGGGAGTTCCAGACTCCCACCAAGGAGGGGATAAACCCGGAGGTGGGGATCCTGCGAGAGCCCCACCCATCCAAGTCCTCCATCCCCTGCTCTCTTCATCTTTTCCTCCACCCTGCTGTCCCAGATGACCACTGTGCTCCTTTTCCTAGGAGTCAAGAGAGGAGCCCCCAGGGGCTGTCCTGGCCAGGGGCAGGGCAGGGGCGGGGACTGTCCTTCCATCCCCGGCGCACCCCGGGCCCTCCCGCCCGCGGGCCTGGAGCGACGGCGGGGCTCTCTGGGCTCTCAGAGCGCGGGCCACGCCCTCAAGGTCCTGCCCGCCACCGCTCTGCGGACACCAGAGGAGGGGGTGCCTGGGTCACAGCAGGTTGATCTCGTCGAGGTAACGGGCCAGGACCGAGTCCCGCACGTCCTTGAAGACTTTACGGATGTTCTGCGTGTCCGTGGCGCACGTGTAGTGGCTGAAGAGGCGCCGGGAGCGCGAGCCCTTCCTGCCCCCGTCAGCGGCGTCCACGCAGCTGGCGTACATGCGGGTGTACATGTCCAGGATGAACCTCTTGGCTGCCTCCGCGTCCTGCTTCGGGCCTAGCGAGCAGGGGTGAGGGCAGTCAGGACACAAGGCTCTGAGGCAGGCAGGGACCCTCCCTCCTAGGACCAACAGGGGGGCCTGGAAACTCTCTGCCCGATGTGGACAACTTAGGGCTGCAGGGACCTCAGCAAGTATCCACTACAGCTGCAACAGGTGGATGCCAGCTTTTGAGTTTCTAGCAGGTCACCTGACTCCAGCCCAACCATTGGAAGCATTAGGCTGGATGACCTGGAGCAAACCAATGAGCCTCAGCTCTGGGGCTCTGGTCAGAACTCGTGTTGAAGAGACTCTCTTGGCTGGGCTTGGAGCTGGAGGGATGGGAACCCGAGCTGCAGATAGATGCTGGTGCAGATGGGAAACTGAGGCCGGGAAAGGGGAAGGGATGGCTGCCCTGGTGAGGCACATGGGCTGCTGTGTTGAAAGCACAAGATGAGTTATGGGCCCTCCACCTGGCTCCGCTACTTACTAATTTGGGTATATGTTAATTCACGTAACCTATGTGAGCCTGTTTCATGGTTTGTAAAACTGGAATCGGAATAGCCCCAGGCCTCCCAGAGTTGTGAGGATTCAATGTAATCATGTCCAGGGCTCCATGCTCAATAATCAAAGCTCCATGAGGTGTGCTATCACTCTTTCAGAAAGGCAGGCTAACATAGTGGGTAAGACCTGCCATCTCTGAATCCAGATGGCCTGGGTTGGAATCCTGCCTCTGTCACTCACTGGCTGTATGACTTCTGGCAAGTGACTGTACTTCTCTGTGCCTCAGTTTCCCCATCTCTAGAGAGGTGAGAAAAATGAGTCCTACTGCACAGGGGTTTTTAATGAGGATTAAACAAGTCAATACATAAAGGTGCTTCCATCAGTGTTAGATGTGTTAGTTGTTATTGGTTTATTGTTTATTGTTTATTGGTCATGTGTATTATTTAGTATACAGGAAAGAAAGGCCAGGAGCTGGAAGTTTAGTATACTGGGTGCTCCAGCCTCTTTGGCTGGGAGAAAAGAATGAGTCATAGGGGTTCCCTTTGACCTTAAGGAAAGTAAACAATCCTCAAAACTATCTACTTTATCCCTGTTCCCAAACTCTCCAAGTGCTGCCAGCTAAGAAGGGTGATAAGAGGTGTCCAGACCACCACCTTGGAATAAGTTGACATTTGTCACCCAGTCTCTGAGTCTTGTGGGTATGACTGGCTGAGACTGGCCACATGGGCTCTGACAAGGCCACAGGGTCACACCCATGGTGATGCTTAGTACATGCAAACTAAGGGCTTCATCTACTATGGTTGATTGTGTATTGGGGTGAATAGTATCCCCCCCAAATTCACGTCCACTGAGAACCTCAGAATATGAGCTGATTTGGAAATAAGGTCTTTGCAGAGTTGAGTTGAAATGAGATCATATCGAATTAGGTTGGACTCTAAATCCAATGACTTGTGTCCTTATAAAAAGAGGAGAGACAACCAGAGACGGAGAAGGCCATGTGACAATGGAAGAAGAGATTGGAGTGATGCATGTGATGCATCGTAAATCAAGAAATGCTAAGGGTTGCAGGCAACCACCAGAAACCAGGAGAGAGGCCTGGAACAGATTCTCCCTCAGAGCCTCCTGAAGGACTCTGCTCTGCCACTCACTGACTGACATCCTGCTTCCAGACTTCTAGCCTCCTGGACTGTCAGGGAAAAAATGTCTGCTGTTTTCAGTCCCCTAGTCTGTGGCCATCTGTCACAGCAGCCCAATTAAACAAAGATAGCTCGTCTCTAAGGTGGCTGCCCTTGCTTCCTTCCCTCCCTGCAGGCGCAGGCTGTTTGGCCATCATGAGGTAGACTCTTTGCCTCCATTTGGGTTTGGGCTGACCTGGGTGATTTTCCTGACCAATAGAATGAGGCCTTTGTAACCATCTGCGACCTCTGAGGCTAGGTCATGAGCAGAGGCTTCCACTCGGGCTGAAGTCTGGCCATCCAGGGACAGCCGTGCTGTGACCTAGCCCTGGGTTAGGAGACACCAGATGGGGGAAGGAGAGGAAGAGAAAGAGAAAAAAGAGAGGGAGAGGGATAGAAGAAGAGAGTAAAAAGAGGAGGAGAGGAGGAGGAAGGGAGACGTGGAGAAGAACAGTCACCATACACACGGTGCAAGGAGCCATCTGGGAAGCACACCTCCAATCCCAGCCGCCCCAGCCGATGCACATGGGCCACAGGTGAACAACTGCCTCAACCTTTCCCAAATTCCTGACCCCCACAATCGTGAGCAAAGTGAAATGGCTGGGTTAAGCCTCTAACTTTGGGGGGGGAGGCATTTGTTACTCAGCTGGGATACTTCTAGCAGCTCCCTTAGCCTCACAGTGGCACTCTGGGGAAAGTGCTAGCTAGTACATCCCTTCCCTGGATTCACCAAAACCTTACATCTCCTTTGGAAGATGCACTACATGGTGCCCACCACTTTCTGTACTCCGCTCTAGTTGGCCGGGGCCCTTTGCACCTCGGGTTGCACCAAAGGTTTGTTCCCAAACCTGTTGTATTCCTTCTGGTTAATATGCACTTAATGAGACACTAATACAGATCTATTAGCCACTAGCACAGCATGAAAGAGGGTTCTCGTATCTATGAAAACTAAGCCGTGCCCTTTGGAAAGACTTGTTCAGAGCTCAATCACAGATTTAAAAATAAAAATGCTATCCAATTAGGTATAGTTGAGATGACTAGAAAAGTTAGAAAAAGAAAAGTGTCAAAAATCTAAGCAGATTCTGGAAATAGTGTTGATGCCTTCTGGGTATGCTTCATGACAATGAACTCTGTCCAGCAGACCCACCCTCACAAGACCTGTAATATATGTCTTTTGGGAATCCTCCACTTTAAGCAATTATATCGAGTGTGAGGGTATCTGTTATTTTACCTCATTCTACAGATGGGAAAACTGAGACCAGAGAGAGGTTGGGCAGTGGAAGGATGTGGGTCTGGAACTCCGGTCTGTCTAACAGTATTTGAAACTCCACTGACTCCAGGCTGCAGTAGGGCCTGGATAAGCATCTGTCTTGGGAGCTGCTTTTTGGGAGGTAGGGTATAGAAAGTTCTAGGACACTCACCCTGGAAACTGGGGAAGTAGGTAGCCAGGTGGGAGGTGGGTATCTTCTCCTCCAGGATGTCGGTTTTGTTGAGGAAAAGGATGACGGATGTGCTTTTGAACCAGGGCAGTTCCAGGATTGTGCCAAACAGAGCCAGGCTCTCCTTCATTCTGTTCTGGGTTGGAGGACACAGGAGTTCATCACTCAAGTCAGCCAGCTTGGCTCAAACAGGAGCCCTCCCTCTACGCGGAGACGGGTCTGAGAGGGTGTGGCCAGCTGCTGTGTAAGCCCAACATGGTTCTGTGCCTCAACTGGTCTGACTAGTGTCCTCCCCAAATTCATGTCCACCTAGAACTTCAGAATGTGACCTTATTTGGAAATAAGGTCTTTAAAATGTAATTCATTAAGAGGTCATACTGGAATTGGGTGGCCTTAAGTCCAATGATTGATGTCCTTATAAAAAGAAGAAATTAGGACACGGCCACACATATGAGGAGGATGCCATGTGATGATGGAGGCAGAGGTGGGTGGATGCATCTACAAGCCAAGGAACACAAAGGGTTGCCAGTCACCAGGAGCTGGGAGAGCATGGAACGGATTCTCCTTCATGGCCTCAACGACACCTGGATCTCAGACTTCAGCCTCCAGAACCAGGAGAGAAACCTTTCCTGTCGTCTCAGCCTCCCAGTCTGTGGTCATTTGTTACAGCTGCCTCAGCAAACTAGGACATGTCACTTGGCGAGAGGTATGTCAGAACAACCTCAGACTCATTCTGTCTGATTCATTCTGAAAGTCAAAATTATAGCATCTCCCTCTCAAATGCCCAAACTGTCTTTGTGACACTTTAACCACTAAAACTGCACGTCACAGATGACAGTGTCCCTGGCCTTCATGCTGGATGTTAGTTAGGAGAAGAGGTCACAAAAGAAGATTGATCCTCACTAGCATTTCTGAATAAAAGTGTGGCATTGTCTCTGCAGTGTGATAGTATTTCCAGGACAGTTTGTGTTGTGTTTCTGGGGGGCCGTATCTCAGGACATGAGTGTCCCGCTGTGTGTGTGTGTGTGTGTGCGTGCGTGCACGCATGTCACATGTGAGTGTTGCTGGCAACACAAACACTTGTGGGTCTGAGTTTTGGGGCTCAATGGTCTGATCGCGAAAGAGTGGGAGGTGAGGCTTAAAGCCACACCAGACACACGCAGGCCCGCTCAAGAGTGGTCCTGGGGCTCCCTGCCCAGCTGTGGGTCCCTGGGCCAGCGGGAGGAGACGAGCGCCCCCTGTGGCCCTCACCTCCTGGTTATTCTCCTCCAGGCACTGGTCGTACTCGCTCAGCGAGGCCAGGTAGATGAGGGCGATCACGTTCTCAAAGCAGTGGATCCACTTCTTGCGTTCTGACCTCTGGCCCCCGACGTCGACAATCCTACCAGAATTGCCGCCTTTCAGAGCTCAGGTTTAATCAGGCCCCACGACGTGGTACCCCAGACCCCAGTCATGTCTGAGACATGCCAAGATCAATGTGATGAGCAGCAAGAACAGAGGCCAGCCACTGGGCCCACCTTCTTGTGGGTTATTATATTTCACTCCCACAGTATCACTGTTACACCCATTATACTGATGAGGAAACTGAGGTGCAGGGAGGAGAAGGGACTTTCCCAACTTCTACTGCACTGTGTTGTCTGATTTCTACCCTCACGGTGGAGGACAGCGGTCAGATGCATCCGGAGACTGCCCTTGTTCTGGCTGGCTGACCCAGGGGAAACTGCAGCCAGTCTCCACAACTCAAGTTTTCCCATCAGTGAAGCAGAAATGCTGTGTTCTGGTTGGCCAGGGGACTGTTCAGTGGCAAACACTATTCCCCCTGTGTGTGACCAAGGCGAGGGCCAGGCCTCCACCCCCACACACCACAACAGAAGCTTGAGCCCTCCTGCCTTCCTGTGCCCTCTTCTAAGAAATGTGGGTCACTGATAAGCCCTGCGTCATTTCCCCGGGGATAGGACTGTTACTCAGGAAGCCAACAGGAAATGCTAGAAGCCTCTGAGCAAGAAGGGACTTGCCCCACTGTACAGGAGGGGAAAGAGGCTAGTGCCTGTGGCTCCTGATTCCAGAGACCAATCCCTCTCATACGTCAGACTCCCTCAAACCCCCATGTTGAGAATGGGGCTCTGGAGACTAAGACAGGGGTGGGGTACACTACTTGCCAGCCTCCCATCTCAGAGTCTTAGTTTCCTCTGTGCCCTCACTCCACTGATTAACCTCTCTCCTTAGCCTAAGAACAAACTCAGTCTCTCACCTAAAAATCCCCTCTCCAGCACAGCCTTCCCTGTGAACATCCCCACCCTCTACCTTCACTCCTAAACTTTTACCCATCCATACATCTATCCACCCACCCATCTATCCACCCACCCATCTATCCACCCACCCATCTATCCATCCTCTGCCCACACACCCGTACATTCACTGGTCTATCCATTTATCCATCCGTCCATCCATCCATCCATCCATCCATCCATCCATCCATCCATCCATCTATCCATCCTCCCACAATTACCAACTTCCACTCTGATCTTGATCTGATCATCACTGTGAAGCAGGAGGCTGACACTCAGCCCCTAACCTTGTGGGACGCTCCGTCCAGTGGAGGAGGCTCATGGCAAACAGCTAAATTATGAACCTTCCTGGAAAGGACTATTGCAGAGGCCAGAATAGTGTGGTTGGGGTGGGGGAGGGTGTCCATGGAAGTGAGAGACTCAATATGGGTGGGTTGATCACAACCACTATCTCCAGGCATCACCCTGTGCTCTCCACAGCTCGCTGTCATCAGCCCACAGGCACAGAGCTTGCTAAGGTCACTGATGACGCGCTAACTGCCAACCCCAGAAGTTGTTCCTCCTGCTGTATTCTTCCTGACCTCTCCTTAGCTTTTGACACTGGCCATCACCCTACCTGGACGCTACCTTGCTGCCCTGGCCACCACAACTCTGTCTTCCAGCTCAGGCCTGTGTTTGCCCAGTCACCTCCTAGACCCCTCAGCCTCTATGTACCCCAAGGACTTCATCATCTTATATAATACTCCCCCCCATCCTGCTGCTGCCATGGTGGCTCCACCTTCTACCCTGTCACCTTGATGGGAAAACTGGGAGGCATTTTCAACTCCTTGCTCTAAGTTCCACACTCATCTAGTCCTGTCCATTCTACATTAGAAACATTTCTTGCACCATCTGCTCATTTCCATCCCCATGGCCACTGTCCCGGCCCTTACTATCCCTTCCTGCCTGGACCATGGTTCCTGCCTCCTCCTGACTCTCCAGACCTCTAGTCTCACCCCCTTTATAGACCACTAGAGGGATCAGCCTCTGAGCTTCCCCAGCCCAAATCCATCCCTCTGGCATAGCTCCAACCATACAGTCTCTGTCTTCTCCTGCACAATAGCCCCTCAAGGGGCGGCACTAGTGATCTCATCCTTCAATGCCCTAATACCAATGTCCCCTCTTCCAGGAGCTCTGGTGCTTCACTCTGGGCTCTTCCAGGTCCTGGTCCTGACTGTATGGGGGCTGGAGGTGTCTATGTCCAATTCTGCCTCCTTCAGCCTGGAACCCCCTTGACAGCTGGGTCTAGGAAACTCCTACTCATCCCTCAGGGCCCCAACTGCTTTGCCCCTCCTCCAGGAAGCACTCCCCACCAAGCAGGCTGCACACTCACCGCAGGTTGGTTTTCTGCACAGAGAAGCAGTACTCGTTGATGCCGGTGGTGGGCATACGGCTGCGAAGCACATCTTGGGCTGTGGGGATGTAGCCCTCCTCGGTGATGCGCTCCAGGTGGGACAGGTAGCTGGGGATCAAGGAGCCCTGAGCTTGGCCCTGCAGCCTCCCTTACCTTCTCAGGCCTACCACCCAGGGCCCAGTGAGGATCCTGGTAGGGGAGAGAGCCCCCCCCACGAGGAGCCAGGATCTCTGGGGTCTGTAGATGGCCCAGGAGCACCACCCTGAGGCCATGGGAGCGTTGGGAGAAGCAGCTTCACCTGTGGAGCAGCGTTATCCCAAGGACGGTGTGACCTCAAGAACAGCAACACTGTAGAAGGGTGTCACCTTGGGGGCTGTCACCAGGAGTGGCATTGCCCCAAAAATAGTGATGGCCCGGGAGCAAATCACCCTGGGCGCCCAGCATCGTGCCCAGGACAGCATCACCATGTGATAATGAGCAATGTCACCCCAGAAATGACATCACCCCCAAAACAGGGTCACCCCAGGAACAACCTCACCCCAGGAACAATGTCACCCCAGATACAATGTCACCCAAATACAACCTCACCCCAGGAACAATGTCCACCATCCCAAAGGCACCTCACACCCAACAGCATGTCCCCAACAGCATGTCTCCAGGGTAGGAGCTGGCCACTCGGGACCCCCTCTGTCCAGCTGTAATCCTGGGACTGGGTCTCTGCTGGCTGCATCTCAACCTGTAGTTGTGCCCACCTCACCCCCAACCCTGCACCCCGCACCCCGCCTCCACCGCCGCGACCCAGACTCACTACACTGCCGAGTCAAGCAGGTGGAACTCGCGCCGGCGCTCATAGCAGGCCCGGACGCCGGCGTCGCTCCACAGCCACTGCATGGCCACCGCATAGCGCTTCTCAAAAGTGGTCACTTTGTAGGGGTCCTGGCTCATGACCAGGCTGGCGTGGTGCTGGAGGGACGGACGAGGCAGGTCAGAGCAGCCTCCGACATCCCAGCAAGCCCCCTTCCCCTCCTTTCTCAGCTGCCCCGCCTTCCCAGCCCAGGTGCAGGCCCGCACAGCCCCCCCACCTCTGTCCCCTCTGATGTGCTCCCTCAGTCACTCCTGCGTCCACCCACAGAGGGCGTGCTGAGGGAAAGTGACTGTCCCAGTACCAGGGGCAGCAGAGAAACGTGGTCCAGAGGACAACAGGGGATAAAGGCCATGGCCCGTGTGCACTGAGGGCCTCCTAAGTGCAGGGCACCCCTCCTGTCTCTGCAAGCACTGGTTCCTTGACTCCTAGGAGACAAGTCCCTACAGGTGTCCCCCATTTCATAGATTAGGCTACTGAGGCACCAGAAGCAACTTGCCCAGGTCTCACATCGAGGTAAGGGACATGAAAGCCCCAGGAGTGGGGACTGGTGTCCTCATACAAAAGGAGTAGGGACGACCATGTGAGGACACAGAGAGAAGACAGCCATCTGCATGCCAAGGAGACAAGCCCCTCCGACACCTTGATCTCAGACGTCCAGCCTCCAGAATTGTGAAAAAATTAATTTCTGTCGTATAAGTTCCCCAGACTGTGGCACTTTGTTATGGCAGCCTGAGCAAACTAATACACAGCCTGAAAACACATATTCCAAAGTTTTAAAAAACACAACAAAACTGATTAATAATTTTTTTTAATCACCACTCAAAGATATGTTTTTCATTGATTCTTGAGAGAGAGGAAGGGAGTGGGAGAGAAACTCTGATGTGAGAGAGCAACATTGATTGGTTGCCTCCTGTAGGCACCCCAACCCGGGATCAAACCTGCAACCTGGGTATGTGCCCTGACCAGGAAACAAACCTGAGACCCTTCAGTGCAAAGGACGGCACCCCGACCACTGAGCCACACCGGCCAGGGCAATTAATAATTTTAAAAGCAAATATTAGGAGAAACATCCTTCTAAAAATTCATAGTAAAACTATATTCAGTGAAGCCCCTGAATAGACCTTAATGGGCTTTGAACAAAGTGCTTTGCTGTTAAAAGACAGAAGACTGAAAATGAGACAATGATGCCCACTCATGCCATTTTAATGAACACTGTACCGAGGTCCCTGCCAGGGAAAAGAAATGAAAGGTCGGGTTTGGAAAGGAAGAAATTACACTGTGGTTATGCACAGATTACGTGACTATATGTAGGAAATCCAAATTAGTCTATAGATAAACTATTAGAATAAACAAGAGAACTTAACAGGGTCCCCAAATGCAAGATCAATAAACAAAAATCAAATGTGTGCCTATACGCTAACCACTAACTAGTGGAAACTTTTAAAAATGTAAATCGCATTTATAGTAGCATCAAAAGATAGTGAATTCCTAGGAATAAATCTAACAATAGATGTGAAAGTAACAAAGTGCTTCTGTGTATATTCAGAATATACACAGAATTTTCTGCAAATCAGTAAAGAAAAAACCGAGCAACTGTACTTTTTTAAGTGGGGAAAAAACAAAATCAAAGTAATGGGCAAAAGGTTTGAATAGTTGCTTCACAAAAAAGGATATCCAAGTGTCCAACAAACATAAGAAAAGGTACACAAGTTCTTATTAATCAGAGCAATGGAAATCAAAACCATATCAAGTGTTGATTAGGACAGGGAGCAACTGGAACTCTGCATGTACTTCTGCTGGGAGTGTGAATTGCTACAATTACTTGGAAAATAGTTTGGTGTCTACTACATGTCCCTTATAAGTAAATACCCAACAGAAATATGCAGATGACCCAAATGTCAACAACATCAGAATGGACAAATAAATAAACCAAGACATACTCTTATGGTGGAAATAAATGATGCCCCCAAAAGATAAGTGAATCACAGACATATTGTACAGCACCAGAAGCCAGACATAAAAAAATCATTACAGAAACTTTGAGAATTAAAAAAATAGGCAACCCACGTATGGTGATGGAAGATGGGATAGTGGTTATCCTTAGGGGGAGCCCCCTTCTCATCTATAAAATGGGGTAATAGTTGAAAGGGGTTACTGTGAGGATTAAATAATTGTTTCACCCACTAACACTTACTGAGCCCATAGTACATTCCAGGCATTGTTTTGAGAGCTTTGGGCACTTTTAATTTATCACATTCTTATATCAGCCCTGTGAGGTAGGAACCATAGGCCCCCAGTCCCTCTTCCAAGGTCCTTGGACCATCTCAGATTCACAAACTAGATGCTTTCAGATTTTAGAAAAGTAATGTGACCTCACACCTGTTAGGATGGCCATTATAAAAAACAAGCAAACCCTGCTCAGCCCGGTGTGGCTCAGTGGTTGAGTATTGACCTGGGATCCAGGAGATCGCGATTCGATTCCCGGTCAGGGCACATGCCCGGGTTNGTGTGGCTCAGTGGTTGAGTATTGACCTGGGATCCAGGAGATCACGATTCGATTCCCGGTCAGGGCACATGCCCGGGTTGTGGGCTCGATCCCCAGTGGGGGGTGTGCAGGAGGCAGAGGATCAATGACTCTCTCATCATTGATGTTTCAACTCTCTCTCTCTCCTTCTCCCTTCCTCTCTCTGAAATCAATAAAGATATATTTTTTAAAAAGATTACTTTCTATTAAAAAAACAAAACAAAAATAAAAAACAAGCAAACCCAAAACATCAAGTGTTAGTGAGGATGTGGAGAAATTAGAACCCTGTGCACTGTTGGTAGGAATGCAAAATGGTGCGGCCACACAGAAGACAGTATGGAGGTTCCTCAAAAAATTAAAAATAGAATCACCATATGATCCACAAATTCTACTTCTGGGTGTTTATAAAAAAAATTGAAAGCATATCTTGAAAAGATATGAGCACTCCCATACCCATTGCAGCACTGTTCTCAATACCCAAGATGTTGAAAAAAACCCAAATATCCATCAACAGATGAATGGATAAGAAAGTGTGGCCCATAAGTGGAATAGTATTCAGTCTTTAAAAAGAAGGAAATTCTTGTCAAGTATGTGGTGGTCTAACCACTATGCTGTATATCTAAAACTAATACAAAAGAATATTGAATGTAAACTGTAATTAAAAGATAAAATTTTAAAATAAAATAAAAATAAATACAAAGAAGGAAATTCTACAACAGGCAACGATGTGGATAAACCTTGAGGATACGATGTTAAGTGAGACAGGCCAGGCACGCAAGGGAAAACACCGCACAACCCCACTTACAGGAGGCAACCAGAACAGGCAGACTCCGGGGGACAGAGAAGAAGGGGCTTGGGGAGGGGACACTCAGAGTTGCTGTGCAGTGGGCAGAGTTTCTGTCAGGCAGGATGGATGGTTGTAGAGCTCTGCGGCACAATATACTTCCTCCAGTTAATACCGTACTGAGCACTTACAATTTGAGAGGATAGATCTAATGTTGAGTGTTCTTACCTCAATAAAATGTGTTTGTTTTTTTTAAAAAAAAGGTAATATGATGCATGAACTGCATAGTAGCCTCTCCCCGCAGTAATCAGCCCATTGTATTAGTATTTCCACAGGGGAGCAGGTGTTGCTTCAGGATCCCCATGCCCACGGGGTCCAAGGATGGAGCCCTGGGGACGCACGGGGGACATGCGAGGGGAAAGCATGCTGGGCAGAGCTGCCTAGAATGCAGGGCAGGGTCTCAAGAAACCTCTGGAGGGGGTGTTCTTAGCAAGGCCTGGGGGTCCTAAGGGCCCCCCCCCCCGTGCGAGGCCCACAGGGCAACCCCAGGACGGTCACCTTGCTCTCTGGCCTGCTGAAGGGGATCTGCAGCTGGTCCATGGCCTCGATCATGGCCCGCATGGACGCGAAGATGTTCTGGTAGACGAGCGGCCGGAAGGCCCTGCGCTCTTCCTCCGAGTAGCCGGCGCCGTGGATGATGCGCATCTGCTTGATGAACGTGCTCTTCCCACTCTCGCCCGGGCCTGTGGGGACACGCCAGCGCTCGGTCTCAGGCGGGCCTCCTGGGCTCAGGTTCCCCTCAGCCAGGGCCGCGCGCTCTGGGACCACCCTTGGCCTCGTCTCCCCACCCCTGCCCCGGGCATCAGCCCCAGGCCCTGCCCGAGCAATGACCTTGAAGGCAAATGAGTTCATTGGAAGGGCTCCTAGGAGGGGGCTGCAAACCATGGCCCTTGGGCCAAATTCAGCCTGTTTAGGCAGAGCCAGGGAGCTTTTACAGTTTGTATGCTTTTTGTTTCTGAGACTTTTAATGGTTCCAGTTTTCACACTGAAAGAAATCAAAAGAAACTTGTTTCATATCATGTGAAAATTATGTGAAATTCAGGTTTCAGTGTCTATCAATAAAGTTCTATTGGCACATGACCACACCCACCTGTGTTCTGATAGTCTAGGCTGTTTTCTCCCTATAATTACAGAGTTCAGTAGTCGGACAGAAACCCTCTGGCCACACAGCTGAAAATATTTGCTATCTGTCTCTCTACAGAAAAAGTTTGTGGACCATGGCTTAGAGCATGCTTAGATATAGCAAGAGCTACATTAGTGCTCACTATTATTAGTACTATCAGTGTTTATTAATTGTAATTAATACTATTTGCTATAATAATCTCAGGTAGAAAAACTTTTATGAAGGAACTAAAATAGGGTAGATAAAGAATGTTTAGGTGACTACTATAGCTGAGTGTCAAAGAAGGCCTCTTGGTGGAGGTGACTTGTAGGGTTGAGAGCCGAAGGCTGGGAAGGTTGCTCTTGTGCCAAGATTTGGAGGGAGGATATACCATGCAGAAGGCAAAGCCTGTGCAAAGGTCCTGGGACAGGCCCACACCTGGCATGTTGGAGAAACAATGAAGGGTCCCCATGTGTCTGGAGGGGAAGAGAGGGAGGAGGTGATGGCAGGGAGGGGACAGGGCAGGTCATACAGGGTCTTGTGGGAGAACTTGGGCTTTTACCCCAGGGCGGTGGGAGCCCAGGAGGGAGGACTGTGGATAGAGGAGAGACAGGACCCCATTTGGATGCTCACATGCACCCTCTGGTGGCTGCTGCTGCGGGGGTGGACAGGCTGTGGGGTATCAGGGCAGAGGCACTGCACTGGTAGAGGTAGGACATGATGGGGTGGACCCAGGAGCTGGTGAGAAGGGGACACATATGCGAGATATTTAGGAAACAGAATCGGGAGGGCCCTGCTGATGAACCAACGTGGGGAAAGGGGCTCTTGCAAGCCCAGCTGCAGAACTGACAGGGCCAAGTGCAAAATGAAAAAAACAGAGCCCTTCTGAGAGAGGGCACTGGGGGACTGCCCAGATTGCTCACACACAAAACCGACCCTGGGTTTGTGATATTAATTCTGGATTTTTCAAGAGCCCAGAACCAGAAACTCAAAGACCAAGGCTCAGCTCCCTGCTGCCTGAGCTCCAGAACCTCCTTCCCCCTCTGTGCCTCTGTTTTCTGTCTGTAAAATGGGTGTGATAGCCAGGCAGGAGGTGCAAGGCTGGGAGGCTCCTCCAACATCTTGGTCACCCTACCTGGCTCCTGGGAGACACAGGTATGGGGGTTTCCCAGGGACCAGACTGGGGACTGCTGCAGGAGGAACTGGAAAAGCAGCAAAAAGGGAAGGAGTGGCCTGGTTGGTGCCCAGAAAGAGGAAATAGGAGCAGAGGAAGAGGGGCAGGGAGGAGGGTGGAGAGTGTGGGAGACAAAGAAAAGGAGGGTGCTACCTTATATCACCCCCCAGGGGCATCTTGCCCCCTGACAATCCCCAGCACATCTGAGGGTGACAAGGGCAGGTCTGAGGTGGCACCGAGTGTTATAAGTCCACTGGAATCGAGGTCTAAGAAAATGAGACACTGTTGTGTTGCCATAAAGGACATTAGTGGGGAAAGTGGGAGAGCTGGCAGGCGTGAGGGAGGTATGTCTGGCCCACAGCACTGCGCCATGCTCACCGCCAGCTTTTGGTCGTGGTCCTGGGGGGCCTTTGCTTTGTAGTGAGACTCAAACCCACTGAAGTATTTAGGGGTAAATAAGCATCAGGTCAAACAGTTCAGAAAAAATAGGTATGTATGTATTAAATATATAAATGTATAGTAAATAAATTATAGCTATAATTATGGATTCAATAAATTATAAGTATGTATACATACACTTACAGGTGGCATATATATGTGTGTATATATTCAGGGAAGAAGAATAAAGGAAATGTGGTAAAATGTTCACAGTTGTAGCCCTGACCTGCTAGCTCAGTTGGTTAGAGCATCATCCTGATACATCAAGGTTGCAGGTTCGATTCCTAGTCAGGGCACATACAAGAGGCAACCAATGAATGCACAACTAAGTGGAACAACAGGTCTATGTTTTTCTCTCCCTTCCTCTCTCTCTCTCTAAAATCAATAAATTAAAAAGGAAAAAAAAAATGCAGAAGAATCCAGGCACAACTTTTCTATAAGTCTGCACACATTTCAAAATAAGTCAAGAAAGCAAAAAACAACTCTAAATGCAACATGAAATGCTGGATTGCACCCTGGAATAAGAAAAGGGCCTTCATGGAAAGGACAGTCAAATCACCCAATCCACTGTCTGGAGCTTAGTTAACAGTGATACGACAGGAAGGGTCCCATGTTCATTCCTCAGCTATGACAATGGCACTGCAGTTCTATAAGATGTGAATGTGACCCAGCCGGGTGTGGCTCAGCGATTGAGTGTTGACCCATGAACCAAGAGGTCAGCAGTTCAATTCCTGGTCAGGGCACATGCCCTGGTTGCAGGCTTGATTCCCAGTAGGGGGCATGCAGGAGGCATCCAGTCATGCTTCTCTCTCTCTCCCTTCCTCTCTCTTGAAAATCAATAAAAACATCTTTAAAAAAAAAAGACATGGATGTGAAGGGAAGCTGCTTAGGACTAGAGGGCAACTCTGTGCTGTGTATCCAAAATTATTCCCAAACAAAATGTTTTCTTAAAAAAATAAAAATGCCCTAGGGTTTGGTTCAGTGGTTAAAATGTCAACCCACAGGCTGAAGGGTCCTGAGTTCAGTTCCAGCCAAGGGCACATACCTCAGTTGCAGGCTCTGCCCCTGGATGGGGCACATGTGGGAGGCAACGAATCGATGTGTCTCTCTCACATTGATGTTTCTCCCTCTCTCTCTTTACCCTCCACTCTCTCTGAAAAGCAATGGGAAAAATATCCTCAGGTGAGGATTAAAAAAAACTAAAAAAAAACAAAGCACCCCACAGGGTCCCTAGGTCCATAATCTAAAGCTCTCCAATGTGGGGCCACGTGTCTCAGATTCTGGAATTTCTTGGATTTTAGGAAGAGCAAATGCCACGCTCACTAAATATGCTGCAAGTGAAACATTTGAATGTCACAGTTAGTGACATAAACCCACAGCCTTGCTTCCCACTTAGAAACCTGGGGAGACTGCCAGTCTTCAGAAGCCTGGCATGAGGGGATGGCAGAAGCGGCCGAGCCCATGTGCCCTTGAGAGCTGAGAGCATGAAGCACCATCTCACCTGAGCCTCATGGCGAGAGAGAGACCCCTCTTGGCCCCACTTTTCGGGTAGGGAAACTGAGTCCCAGATCTGTTGAGGGGACTACCTTGGGTCAAACCCAGTTCTGTCTAAGTCCAGAGCCCATGAGCTTTTTAATTATCGTGCTGAAAATTCCCCATGTGCTACCTAAACAGTAAGGACAATTATAATAGTAACAACCGGCCTCATCATCATCGCAGCGAGCATGGCTTAACTCTTGGCATCTGCCAGGACAGGCGCCAAGGCACTCTGCATGTCCTCGGTCCATCCTCATAAGATCCCTGCTGTTTTCCCATTTGCAGGAGACATGGCGCTCAGAGAGGTGAAGTGCCTTTCCCAGGGTTACACAGCTACTGGAGAAGCAGGGGACTAAAGTCAACCCTTATGGGTCCTCCATCCACAGAATGGGACATGGTCAGTCTGGTGGGTCAGGCGTCATCAACATATCAGTTAATGTGACATTTCTACAGACGCTTAGAAACTGGACGGCTCCTCTGGGGGCTGCCGGAGATGGCCCTGAGGCCTGGGGCAGGGGACTGCACCCCCTGACCTCTCTCCATGTCGCCTTCCAGACCTGAGGTCTCCACCAAAAATATAGAGAACAAAGGTCTCAGGAGGCGACAGTTAACAATGTTGCGGTGTACTGATTTTTTTCCCCCCTTGTCTCTTCTGTTTTATTAAAGAAAAAAAAATTCTGGTCTCCACCCACAACATGGTTTTTGTGACTCATGGATGGATCACAACCTGAATTCTGAAGAACTCCATGGTTGGAAACCCCTCTTTGCAGCCCAAGCCTGTCCTGAAGCCACTAAGGGACCTGGAATCCCTCCAGCCCCTGGCTCCTGGTCTGCCTCAGGAAACCCCCACATGGGGCTGGGGGCTGCGGGGACAGCTGCAGCCACCTGGCGGCCCGAAGCCCAGAGGGGAAGTGATACTTCCTCCCGGGATGGTGAGGAAGCGGAAACCAGCAGGCGCCAGGAGGAGCGGGCCAAGCCCTGGGCATCACGAGACAGCGGGACAGCGAGACAGCGACAGCGTGCAGCCTCTGCCACTGGGACGGTGGCCCCGCCTCCCCGCCTCCGCCCCCGGGAAACGGGGCTCCTGGGGTACAGGAGCCAGTCTGGGCAGCAGGGGGGCAGGTGGCTCAGCTTCTAAGTCCAGCTGTGGCTCCCAGTGGCCACTGACCCAGACCAATGCTGCCACATCCCTGGGCCTCAGTGTCCTGGTCTGTCACTGGCGTTCTGTGGCTTTTCTCTTCTGAGGCACGTGCACAGGGCAGTCAGACACACAGACCTGGAACTGGAATTCTAGGTTCCAATACTGGCTGTGTGACCTTGGGCAAGTCACTTTGCCTCTCTGGGCCTTGGTTTCCTCATCTGGGATTGTGGACAGAGCTGGCTTCATTCTGAATTTTCCCCCTCCCCAACATGGTGATCGCTTCCTGTCATAGACAGACACTCCCCCCTCCCACCCTCTGGGCCCTGGGCCTTCATCCTCAAAAGGATCAGTGAATCTTTAGGAAAAAATAACTTTTTTAAAATTCCTGTTTTCAAGAAGGTAGAGAGGTGTGGAGGTGGCCCTCAGGAAAGGGATGGGGGTGGTCGAAACCAGTCCACAGGGCTGTCTACAGGGTGACCATCAGTGCTCAGGGACACAGACAACCTCCTCTCCCCCCTCCCTTCCCCACAACAGCAGAAGGGGCTTCCCGATTTGGGGCTGGCTGTGCAGCAGTTAGAGTGGTGTGGGGCAAGGGACCTGCCCATCTCCAGGAAGATATGGTACAGCTCTGGGGAAAATTGCCCCTAAATCAGGATTGAATGAGTCATTCATTCATTCATTCACTCATTTATAAAGCATGCATTAGACAGTTACTATATATCAGGTTCATTATCCTTCTGGGCTAGATGCTGGGGGCACAGGAGTGGATAAGACAGACATGGTCCCCACTCTTACACTGTTTGCTGTATAACTGGAGAGGCAGACAATAAACAAGTAAACACCTGAGTGTCAGTGAGTGGGTGCTATGGGAAAAAGTCAAGAGAGGATAGAGAAGGATGAGGCTGTCTGTGTAGCCATGGTATTTAGGGAAAACTTCTCTGAGCAGATAACAGTTGAGCTGAGACCTTCCTTGAGTGAGAGTGCCAGTCATACAAAGGTTTGGGTGACACTGAGAGCTCTTTACAGGGATAACAGCAAGTGCAAGGGCCCTGAGGTTGGGGTAAATAAACTTGAAATGTACAAGGAAAGATCACTAACATTTATAAACTCCTAGTCTGACTGATGAAGAAAAGGGATGGAAGACAAAGAATTAAAGAAGGAACATCAACCCGGCTGGCGTGGCTCAGCGGTTGAGCATTGACCTATGATCCAGGAGATTGAGGGTTGATTCCCGGTCAGGGCCCATGCCCGTGTTGTGGGCTCAATCCCCAGTGGGGGGCATGAGGAGGCAGCCAATCAACGACTCTCTCATCATTGACATTTCTATCTCTCTCCCTCTCCCTTCCTCTCTCTGAAATCAATAAAGACATATTAAAAAAAAAAAAAAGAAAGGACATCACTGCGGATTCTACACACACAAAAAAGGTAAGGGAATGTTATAAACAATGCTATGCCCATAAATTTAACAATTTTGAAGAAATGGACAAATTCTTTGAAAGACACCAATAACCAAAGCTTACTCAAAGCTTAAATAGTCCTATGTATTAATAAATGATATATAAATATATCACATATATTATTTAATATAACAATACCCTGTTAAAGAAATGAAATAGAGATAGCTATTAAAGCAATTAAATTCTTAATCAAAAACTTTCCAGGCTCAAACAGCTCATTGATGATTTTACCAAATGTTTAAGGAAAATATGAAATATTCAATGAAGAGCAAAGAAGCCGGGTGGCTGCAGCTGAAATATTATGGTCAATAGATGAAGCTAGGGTCTGAGAGGTCAAGGGGGCCAGGGTTTGAATTTTATGCCATGCCAGATCTTCTTGGAGAAATAAATGGGACGGGGGATTATTTTACCTAGTTCAATAAGAGAAAGCAATGTTAGAAGTTAGAAGGTCACTCAATTAAGGTGCCATTCCTGGGGGCCCAGTGCTCCCACTCTCTTTCCTCTCTCCAATCCTCAGGGCTTCCCACTGAGCAAGGGAAGAGAGAGGTGACTATACAGCTTCTCTGACCTGGGCCAGGCAGATGTGACTTCAGGACACCTAGAACCTTCCCCAGCCCACACCCAGGGCTCAGAGAGTCCTGGAAGACCTTCCAAGGCCTGCATCCCTGGGGCCATACACAGGGCGAAGTGGTTGGGGAAGTGGACACATGTGGACAACAAGATTTGAGGTTTCTGAGGTCACAGTCTGCTGCCCTTCAAGTCATCCCTACTGCCTCATTGGTTTAATTTTCCTCCTCAGTCTTCTAGGTTCTGGAAATTCTTTTATCTTAATGTCTACCTCCCTCACCAGAAGATGAGGTCCATGGAGGCAGGGACAACTTCCATCTCCGTTGCTGCTCTGTCCCCAGGAGTTAACACTTCTTGAATGTATGAATGAATGAATCAATGAATCAATCAATCAATCAGAACCAGTTGGCAATGCTTTGCCTGCAAAACTCATGCTAATAAACCTCCAGAATCTGGGTCAAGCCCTCCCGACTGCTTGGTGCGACAGGGAGAGAGGAACTGGAGGGCAGTCAGGAACGGAGCTGGAGGGAGAGTCCCAGGCAGAGACTTGAGCTCATGGTTCCCTTTCCATGACACAGAGCCGGTAGGGCGTGCTGGGCCTGCCAGGCTGGGGCCGGCCCCATGAGGCCATCCCGCGGGGCCACCTCTGTTCTTGCAGATGCTCTGCAAGGTGGCTGGGCCCATGTTTGGACGAGGAACTAGGCTTCTCTGGGCCTCAGTCTTCATATCCAGCAAGTGGGTTCCCAGGTTCTCCCACCCTGGTGCGGGAGGACCTTCTCCTTCAGCCCCTCTTCCCTCTGCCCGCTCGCCAGGCCCTGGACTCACCCAACAGCAGCAGCTTCAGCTCCCCTCGGTCCCGCTTCTTCTGTTCCAGGAGGATCTTGTTGATCTCCTGGTCAATCCGCGCGGCTGTCTTCTCATCCTCTGTCAGGCACCAGGGGCAGCAGTGCCAGGTCAGCGACCGGGCCATGGTGCGGGACCTCAGAAGGCACAAGGCAGCATGGCCCTGGCCCCCTGGGGAGGGTACCCCCACTCTGCTGGCTCTGGGGAGGGCTCCTGGCAGCCAAGCGTGAATGGGCTGCCCTCTTCTTGGGGGTCACCCCTCCCACTGGAACCCCGGACTTCCTGTCCTCGGGCTCCCAGGCAGCCCAGCTCCGAGAAGCCTGAGTGCTGGGCACAGGGCGGTGGGGGAGGAGGAGGAGCAGGAGCTGGGGTGCAGAGGCTCAGGGCTCCCCGCCCATCTCCAGACCTGCCTGGCCCGGCCTAACAGGTTGACTGTGGCGGCGAGGAGGAGAGGTGGGTGCCCCTGGGGAGGGCGGAGCAGCTCTTGGAAGGGCCCCAGCAGCCCGGGTCCCAGCAATTGGCTGGGCCCTCCTTCCTCATTCTGCAGGAGGGCGGACTCCCTGGTCCCGGGGCCCCTGACCCCGCCCTGGCCTGTCCCCTGGCCCAGCCCCGAGCCCGCTCTGAGCCAATCAGGAGCAAGCCTCAGAGTCCCGGCGGCGCGGGCGGGGCGGCTCCTGCTGTTGGAAGTGCTTGCGTGTGTGGGCTTGTTGCACCTGCACGTCGTCCCGGAGTTACTGCCATTTCCTCCCATATACAGATGGGTAAACTGAGGCACAGATCATGATGGGACCAGACAGGGCCCGGAGCCGGCTTTACCCGTGGGGCTCCAGGGTCTAAACACTAACCAGGAGGCTTTGAGGAGGGCCATTGATTCTCCCAGAAAACATTGATTGAGCGCCTACTGTGTGCCAGGCATTCTAGGTGCTGCAGAAAACAAAATGACAAAATCCCTGACCCCTCTGCTTAACATTCTAGTTAGACAAGTAAGAAAATACCTTTTTTTTTTTTTTTTTTTTTTTGAGAAAAAGGAAGGGAGAGAGACAAAGAAATGTCATCAATCTGTTGTCTCCGCACAAGCCTGCACCAGGGATTGAGCCTGCAACCTAGGTACATGCCCTACCAGGCCGGGCGTGGCTCAGTGGTTGAGCATCGACCTGGGATCCAGGCGATCGGGGTTCGATTCCCTGTCGAGTCACATGCCCGGGGTTGCGGGCTCGATCAGTGACTCTCTCATCATTGATGTTTCTATCTCTCTCTCCCTCTCCTTTCCTCTCTCTGAAATTCATAAAGATATATTAAAAAAAAAAAAAAAA